CAACCAGTGAAAACTCCTCACAGTTCACTGAAATAGGAAACTCTAGAAAGCAAACATTCACCAACATCAATGTCAGTCACATCTGCTGACCCCTCCCACTCTGCTTGCTCCTCCTCTGCATTGCCCCCTGGTTTTGTGTGGGCAGGACTCAATGTTTACAGGTGTTAAGCAACACCTGTAAACATGTGTTAAGCAACACCTGTAAACACTGAGCTGATTGCTATAAAAGGTGGTCATGCCCTAACACGCTGACCTCTTCTGATTTAGGTTGCTGTGTGTCACCTTGCTTTTATCCATAAACTGTCCACTGAGACAGACTGTCGCTAGTTAAACACTCGGGTGTCTCTTTGTCTCCCTGTCTTAATCTGTGATTTTTTAACTGAAGTTATCCCGTTTCGATTTCTGCTAGTGTCTAAGCATCCCGCCCACAGTAGCACCTGAACTTTTATAATCAGCTTCTTCTTCACTTGTTACATGTCAGTAGAAACCTTTGAGTGCTCAGCAGGTGACACCTTTATTCAGTAGATTCACCTGAACGTGCAGGACGACGTCCACAGAGTTCAGACCGTCCGACACCTTGAGACCAACGACATCCTCAGTGGTCTCAGAGTCATCGTGGATGTACCTGAAACACAGAGACGCCGTCACGCTGACCTGTGACCAGCTCCTTAGTCAAACATCGGTGACATCAGCAGCTTCTACAAACACTGATGATGTTTAGAGCCCAGATTTTCTGCTTTTTAAATGGAGACTACTGAACCTCTTGTGAACTTTCCAACAGCGGTAAGCCAGGGGTAAAGGTCAAGCACAATACTGAGTCTAATTTAATCTGAATAATTACACAAAGTAAAACTCAATAAAAAGCTTGAATCTTAATAAATACAATAAAATCAAACATTAATGTCATAAAATAAACTGGCACAAAGTAATTGCTGAATAAAAATGTTATTAAATGTACAAAAGAAAACGATGAGTCGACGAGTCAAAGTCACGTGTTGACAGAGTCTGCCTTTAATCATCGCATTAACAAAGAAATTCTTAATATATAAAACATGAAGCCTGATGTGGGTTTCAGCTAAAACAAGAACCTGGCCTCTGAGTATAAATATAGTAAAATAGAAAGATTACAGCTGCTAATTACAGAAATACTCATAGTCACCTAAGGACAACTGAAAAAAATGTTGGATGCCTTAAACATTCAAAAAAAGAAGAAACTTTCTGATTTTCGTGAACTTTAAGAACACAAACTGCTGGCTGGTGAGTGACCCGGGGTCCCTGAACACCACACGGTTACAGCCACCGGCTGGTTTGATTTTACGTGACTGGCGCTCTTTGCAGGGCGAGGTTTCAGAAGAACACGACAACAGCAAAAACAGCAGCATCACTCACAGGAACAAACTGCAGCGTTTCTATCTGACGTGTGTGCTGGAACAAGAAATCATACATCACCTACAAATGAATGTGAGAGGAGCAAAAGCAACAAAACAGTTTTGCAAAACAGGAACGATAATTGGTTTATCTAAACGTTCAGTGGACGTTTAAAACAGAGGTGCAGGTGAAACACTTTAAAGGTGACCTACCTGCACACTCTGAGCTCGTTATTAGAAACATGTTTAATGTGAACGCCCATCACTGGAGCAGGAGGTACATGACAGGAAGTGAGGAGTAGAAAAGCTGGCAGTAAATCCGCTCCGTGCTTTCTGCTCTAAGAAACCAAGACTGACTGCAAACAGTCGACCACAGCGCGGTGAGCGGCTTCATGATCACCTGAAAACTTCGGAACCTCTGAAACCGAATCCTCTGAAATCAGAAAAACCCTCCGGCATTACATCACCGGTGAAAACACACCCATCTGCTGAAGCAGCGGATAAAACCAGAGAGCTCTCAGAGTGATCGCTGAGCTCAGATCACCACGGCACGTCCAGAACCACCTGACCCGGGTCTCACCTGATGCCCAGCCCTCTCAGTTCCTGCAGGGTAAACCCGCCTCCCTGCTGCAGCGCTTGGCCCCGCAGCTCCAGCCGGCCGTGACGAGCCGTGCTCCGAATCTCCACCCTCAGCGCCTCCTCTCGACTGTCCCGGTCCCGGACCAGGAGGTGCTCCTCCGTCACGAAGGCCGCGCCGCCCTCCTCCACCCGAAGCAGGTTGGTGAAAGCCTGAGGAGCACAGAGAGATTCAGCACAACATCCACAGCACGGTCAAACCAGAGGCTCCGCCCGTTTGACCTCTGACCTCTGGCGCCTGGTCATCGACAGGGGTAACCGTGATGTTGAAGATGAGGCCGGAGACGGTGTCGCCGTGGTGCTCGCTGACTGAGAAGATGAACTGGACGAATAGCGACTCGGGCCCAATGTCCTCGACCGGCGGCATGAAGGCCACCTTCATGTGGTTCACAGCATGCTAGGAGAAAACAAGAAATTTACATCTTAACCTGCAAAAGCACGACCCATGCCAACCTCGCCAGCCACGCCACTCTCCCCCCCAGCAGCGACTCCTTCATATGTATTAGAATCAAGCAGGTGCTGCATACCTGAGTGAAGGACTTCAGCACGGGCGCTGTGTGGTCCTTCTTCATGGCGTTGGTGCTGTCGGTGTAGAACAGACGTCCTGCATCCATCAGGCTGAAAACGAATACAAACACGATAGTTAGTTTCTCAGTCACAGGGTCTGCTCTTTCTCCTCTGTCAAAGCTAAGCTGGCAGCCGGGTCCTTACCCAGGATGTAGCGGGCTGAAGCAGGGCTGTGTAATGACATAGGTGAGGTCAGCATCTGGGTGCTCTCGGTCTGTGAAGTGAAGGTGAGCCTGGGTGATGTAAACCACCTCCGTCTCCTTCACTGTCAGCGAGCGGACGCTTCCGGGAAATTCGACTGGCACCTGGTCCTCCACCGGGAACACGTGCACCACCACCGTCTGCACACAGGGAGGAAGAGGAAGGAAGAGGTGAGAGGAAGAGGAGGTCTCAAAGCGACATTCAGACTTGTCACTCAGACCAGAGCCGACTCACGTATGTCTGCGACAGGTTGGGCGGCCGGTGGCTGTCAGACAGTGTGAAGTCGAAGGCGTCCTCAAACTGCTCATCTCCCGAGTGCTGGTAGAAGATATGACCCTGGATCAGGTCCCTCTGCAGGAAGCTGGCCACCGGTGACCCTGCAGGGAGAGCACAGAAGAGCTCAGAGACCAGCAGTGCAGGAACATGATGGTTTACAGCAGAGAGCTGCAGGACTGAGCCCTCTCACTCAGAAATCAGCATTTTCACCCCCTTGTAGATTATTTCTGAATGTGTTTGTGGTTCAGTGAGTAAAGCTGAGCGTCCCCCAGGAGCTCAGTGGTGTGACCCCTAGTCATGTGACTGTGGTGAACATTTACCTTTACCCTTCAAAACCATTAAATTCAACACAAATGGAGTATCACAAACATTTATTTACCACAGAGGTGATTCTGGTCATTGAGGTCAGTATCAGCTGATAATCAGCTGACCTATCAGAGTGAGTTTGGATTGGCTGATTCTTCTGGGTGGGAGAGTCCCAGCGTTAGACACGCCCACATTGCCTCTCTAATTATTACGTCTAAATACTCGCCCTCACCTGTCTCATGGGCGGATGTCCTCCTGACCAGGTGCCCGGCCCGGGGGGCGGAGACTACCTGATAAAGGATGTAGTCGTCGCTGGAGTCGAGGTCGGAGGCCAGCAGCATGAACTCCTCGAGCCGCACGGCCCCACCCTCCTGCACCTCCACCGCCACGTTGTTGATGAGGAAGGGCGGAGAGTCGTCCTTCGGGAGGATGTTGATGGGGAACTTGTGGCGGACGCTGTGACGACCGTCGCTGATGCGGAAGACGACGTGGTCGCGGGTGGAGTCGCTGTCGGAGTGGTGGTAGACGACTGTGCCCTCCTTCAGGTCCCGCACGCGGAACATAAACGCCTTCCCGCCTGGAAACACAACGCAAAAGTCACATGACTCAAAGAGAAAGATCTTTAATTCTTTTCCACTAAACAACAGTGAGTCCTCACTATTCCCACAGCGTCAGACGTCCGTTTTCTAAAATAAAAAAGCCTCAAATCCTCACCTCTGAGAAGCCTGACAGATCAAAACACCTTCGATTTCAGCCAGCAGGTTCAGAGCGATGACAAGATTTCAGACATTAGACACTGAAAGGTCGGCGGCCTCCTTCCAGCCACTCAAAGCATCTGACTGGCAGCTAAAAGGATGTTTTTACCTGATCATAACTGATCTGTGATCCTCTCAAACTGGACCTTCAGTCTCACTGAGGAGAAACTTCAGTCAGTAACTTTATTCTTCACGCTCACTGCAGACTCTTGTCTGTCTGACTGGGGTCGAGTTCAGATCTTATATTTAACGAGACAAAAACTCATTTCTACATTTAAACAAAACTCTGACTGTGATGACGACTGTGTTAATCAGCTGGGGGCAGATTCACGACGACATCAGTCAAAAGAAAGACAGAAAATCATCTGCTGAAGGCTTCACCTCAGTGACAGCATAAACGCACCGAGGTCACTCGCCCTCTGTGCCTCTTCACGAACTACTGGCAGGATTTTTTTTAATGCTGAAAGAAGTTTTTGCAAGACTGTTTGGACTGAATAAAGATGAAAGCACTCCCTCTTTAACCTGAGTTATAATTCAGAAAACTAAAACAGAACGATGCTGTAGACTCTGTTTTAAACACTGCACATATTTCTGACCCTTCACCATTTATTGTTACATTGGTATTATTTATTGTCTTCACAAGCATCATCTTTTTAAAGAGTAAATAGCCTCCATAAAGACTGATTATTGATGTTTTTTTGTTTTTTTTGATGGGATCTTCCCGCTGCAGCCAGGTTTCACAATAAATGTTCATGCTGACTTATAAACTGAAACAGATTGAATGTTTCCACGGAGTGACGCGTCAGGAGGGCATCGTGTCGTACTCGGGATGAACGTGTGGCGAGCGTCTGCTTCTGTCACAGAGCGGCGGGATGCTGTTTGTCTCTCGTCGAGCCGAACATGAAAAACTTCGGTGTCCTACATTAATGAAACGGCGGCCGCGTCCATCTGCCAGCTCTCTGCCGCTGGCTGGCCCTCCTCGCGCTCTACAACATGCTGATGGCCCAGCGTCACGTGACCGTGGCCTACCGGAGGACACGTGTTGTCGGTGGCCGGTTTCCAGCCAAAGCTTCGCACTTTGATTCAATTACCGTCTCCAACACGTGCGCTGCTTTCCTCCCATTGTCACTTGGAAATAACAAGTTTGTGTTGGCGCCTGGAGGCACAGCGAGGCGCTGGCTCGGTCTGCGCTGCGAAAACCGGTGGGCTACAACATGGCGTCCTTCCCGGCGGCTGCCCGGCTGCCAGGACGGGGGCTTCCTGTCTCCTTGCGAGTGCCAGAGAGACAGAAGGGCAAGGTCAGCAGACAGATTGAGAGACGAGCGGTCGCAAGCCCGAACCTCATTAGCAACTTTACCGAGGGGAACCGGCTCGCGGTCCAAGTGATGGAAACAACTTGGTAATTGGGCCCAAAGGTGGCGTTGGGCAGCCGGCCCACGAAGGGAGAAACGCCACGCCTGTGTATGTGTGTGTGTGAGAGTGTGTGTTTGTTAGGGACAGGCAGCCATCCATTTGGCTGAAGGCGTTGGAGCGAGCCCGTCCCCACGCTGCAGCCGCCGCCCTCCAGTCGCAGCACCGAGGGTCAGCAGCGTCCTCAGAGACGCAGCTCCACCGCAGCTTCCTACACGGACGCGGCGCCAAACTTCAGCCCAAACCGACGGGATGAAATGATGCAGGAGCAGGTGCTGCAGGAGGAGGAGGAAGCTGCCTGGTGGGACCAAAGTTTCAACAAGCATCCAACTTATTTTGCTGCGTGTTAGAGACGTTCTTCCCTCTGCAGGTTTCTGCGCTTTGATAGAGGATGCAGACATGTCGACGAAGCAAGCACGGGTTCTCGCTGTTGTGAAGTTTGTGGTTTGAAGCCTGACAGAGGCACAGTGAGCAGGTTTAACCCCTGCTCTTTTTCCAGCCTGCTGTGAAATCATCAGCCTGACCTCACTGTAGCTTTTCTGTGTGACCCCGATCTGTAAATCTGAGGAAACTGCTGCCCGATCTGAGTGTAAACACGTGGTAGGAGGCTTCCTCCGAGCAGAGGTCTGAACGTCACATGCTGGATGGAGAATTTTTGTGGATCATTTTCTGCATCAGCTTACACAACATGAGTTTTTGTCCCAAACACAGTGAAAGCTCCTCTGCTGAAAATTAAACAACCAATAAAAACAAAAACACACATCTCGATCAATAAAGTAAAAAGTAGGACAAAACCAAAATCTTAAAAAAGGTACAAACTTAGAGGAGCTGAAGAATAAATAAAAAAAAATATAAAAGTGGTTAATCATTTAAAATCTTCTCTCCTGTTCTTTTTGCGGCAGTGACATCCAATTCATTTCTGATTAAATGTGTTTATGTTAGTAATAATTCATTTATTGGAATTCATAAATTCATTATTTTTGTTTCCATGGTTTCATTTATTTCTGTGAACTTTGACAGCTGGGGCAAAAATGATGATGTAATTATACCAAATTATTTTTGCCTCCACCTTTTTTAATTCCTGTTTATGGATGTAAGTCAGTGGATACGGCAGCACGCTGATGAAAAATCATGTTCAGGAAATAAAAATGAAACTTTTTCAGGGACATAGAAAAAAAAAAGAGCAGAAATGTTGTGACTTAATTTGAAAAGGTGGCGCGATGTCACAGCAGCTCAGGTGAGGACTGCAGCTTGAATCACTGATTAAACCTCACAAACGAGCGGAAGATGAGGCGAGCACAAAAGCAGCCATGAAAGGTTAACTCCCGCCCGCATGAAGCCCTCGGGGCGCCCGCCACCTCCTCCCCCTCCGAGCTGGTAGCATGAAAACCTGTTTGGGGACAGTGCATCTGCTCCCTGTGCACGCCGCCATGAAATGGCAGAAGTCGCTCCAATCTGCTCCGTCCCGATGCCGTTCAGACAAAGAGGCGACCTCGCCGAGCGGCGGGCTGGAAGGGACGGAAGTGGACGGAGAGGCGGGCAGCGGCGGCCCCTGGCGAAGTGGCCCTGGCCCCATTTTACACCTGATTAGGAAACACATGCAGGACCGTGAGACATATGCTTCCCCTGCCACACGGCGGTCCCTGATGGACGCGCAGCACATGGAGCTAAAAGGGCGGAAAAGGCCAGACGCCGGTTTGCAGAAGTCCCAGGCGACCGAGCAGCATACCAGCGAGGGAGTCGAGGACGGAGGGACAAGGCAAGGCGGTGTTGCCGAGGGGCTTCCCGAAAACCGTCGACGACATCTTCTATACTTTCTGTCTGTTCTGTGTTTATCGTTGGTCTTGATGATGATTTCTAACAGACGTAACATAAATACTCATGGATCATAATTTATATATAACAAGATTTAAACTCAAAATAGAGAAGATAAAAAGTAAATTAAGCGCAAATACATAAATCATTAATTTTAAAATGGAACATAAATCCTTGAAACTTGATTAGTTTTTTAACACACTTTTTATTT